ACAAGCCCTGGTTATCAACAATCATATTTCGACTCTATTTCACAACCAGGTTAAATCAGCCATCAACATTAGCACCTTCTAATCAGACAATGCAAACTTACACTACCAGCTTGGTAGACCAATGTACCCTATTTAGGACGGCAGCAAAAGACTTCTTTGATTACATCCTTTGAATAAATCAACCTAACATTACTTATTAGTCCCCCTCGCCACTCCATTGGGATGATGCATCGGCTATGTAGATAAGCTACACGCTATTTTCCAACGTCTGAGTTAAACGCGATAGATTCCCCAATGTTAACCCACCTCAAACTGTGGGAACAACCCCACATTATGCCAGAGCTGGTTCACTGTCTTTGTCAGAGCAAAAGGGAACTTGTCCTTCACACTGACCTTGTTTTGATATTACAGAGACACTGTAGCCGTAGCCTGGCTGTTCTTTAAACTAGAGACCTGGAAGAGAGTTCGCGGTCTATTATCCAATCAATTACGCTGTACGGATAATTTGTGAGGAAAAGGAGGAAAGACTGGTACGGAATGGCACGGGCCATGAAATCGAGTTGATCCTTGATTCATATGGATTTTAGTAGTACATGGAATATTTGCCCTGGTTCCAGTCGTTCACCAAGTATAGAATCAGGCTGAAAATTTGTTATTCAGTTACATTGGAGTGTTGAGCTTCTACAATATTTAGCAGTGTTGCTGGCCACATATAGGTATTATCTGTACTACAGTAGATTGGGTGCCTTATCAACAGCTTCAAGGTAATAGGATTGAGATAGTAGAGAAGGAATCATAAATAATTCCAATAAGCTGTCCTCAAGCTTGACTTTCTTTTATAGCTCTTATCTATCGGACCGATAAAGTGGACCCTTCACTTACCCCGGCCCGGTGAGCACGTGCCTGTACGGAGATAACAATTCTTATCAGAAATTTAGTACCTCAGGCAGTAAGGTGTCAACAATAAGAAACTTTTTCTAGCGGGAAGATATCGGCGCTTGCAAAATTCCGCCCCGAGAAAAGAAAATGGAAATAATAATTTTGGACCAAGCTACCTAAAGCTGCTCGCGGACTGCTTGACTCTGCTACGAGTTCTGTCGTCGAAAGGGAAAAGGAATTTTTTTCTCAAAGGTCGCTGACCTTGTTTCTCGACAATGGAGAACCAGTCGAACAGGGTCCATCGACCCTCGAAAGAGAAAAAGAAGCATGATGGTATGCACTCTGTATAGGATCTAATTGCGATGATCTATGCATTTCGATCTCCCTCCGGTGGGATACATTTACTGATATGGAGATCGCGATTTAGGCCCGAATCCAAAAGCCTTCGCATTTTCGAACCCTGGAAAAGGAAATAAAGCTGGCGCGCGGTCGCATGATGTATGAGTTAAGCTCTGACTTTCGAGAGTTTCAGGGACTAACGACCCTCGATGTAGATTAAAGAAAAGAGGCTTCATGTGCCGCTCGTGGATCGTGTGCCTGAAGAGGCGCCTCCCCTTGTTGTTGCAATTGTTGGACCACCAGGTGTAAGTTTTCCAGATCGAGATACGGAGAATGGGAAAGTACCTAACAACACCTGGTTCGTTAGGTAGGAAAAACGACTCTCGTTAAATCCTTGATCCGTCGCTACACGAAACAAACCCTCAGCACCCCTAAAGGACCCTTGACTGTAGTGACATCCAAACGGCGCCGACTTACTTTCCTCGAATGCCCCTCCGACTCCCTTGCCAGTATGGTCGATGTCGCGAAAATCGCCGACATTGTGCTTCTGATGATCGACGGCAACTATGGATTCGAGATGGAGACTATGGAGTTTCTGAACGTCTTGTCTTCCAGTGGTATGCCAGGAAATGTGTTCGGTATCTTGACCCATTTGGATCTTTTCAAAAAACAGAGCACCCTTCGAATGGCGAAGAAGCGCTTGAAGCATCGCTTTTGGAGCGAGCTTTACAATGGTGCTAAGCTCTTCTACCTTTCTGGTGTCGTGAACGGCCGGTATCCCGATCGCGAAATACACAACCTCTCCCGTTTCTTGTCGGTCATGAAAAACCCTAGACCTTTGGTATGGCGCAATTCACACCCTTATGCGCTTGCAGATCGCTTTCTGGATATTACACCACCCACTCAGATCGAAGCGAATCCGAAGTGCGACCGAACGGTAGCTCTCTACGGTTATCTACGAGGTACAAATTTTTCAGCCCAGGGAGCGCGAGTGCATGTACCTGGCGTGGGTGATTTAACTGTCTCCGGCATTGAGTCACTTCCAGACCCATGCCCCACCCCCTTTATGGATCAACAAATGGCGAAAGCCTCGGGCAAGGCAAGCAAACGCAGGCTGGGGGAAAAGCAAAAGTTACTATTCGCCCCTATGTCTGATGTTGGCGGTGTTTTGGTTGATAAAGATGCTGTGTATATTGACGTCAAGACTTCGAATTTTAACAAAGGTGATGATGAGTCCGAGGATGAAGATCGTGGCCTTGGTGAACAGCTCGTTGTTGGTCTTCAGGGTGAACGTAAACTCCTTGGTGAAGCCGATGGAGGTGTCCGCCTGTTCCGAGGTGGCGAGGCTATAGAGAAGGCGGACGATGAGGATGAGGGTGCAGGAAGGAAACACAGGAGACATGCGAGGTTTATGGATGGAGAGGGAGGTCAGGCAGAGGAAGATGAAGGTTTCGACAGCGCCGAGGATGACGATGAGGAGGAACTGGAAGGCGACAGTGATGAAGAGAACATTGACGTGTCCGCACCTCCCGACTTTGAAGCAAGCTTTAGGGAGAAACAGGAGGGCAAAAGCCGCCATGATGAAGGTGACATCGCATTCGCCGACAGTGATTCTGATCTCGGATCCATTTCGTCAGTTGAAGACCAGGAACTGGAAAGCGACGACGAAGAAGACCTTGATGAAGAGGATGAGGATGAGGATGGCGCTGTTCGGTGGAAAGAGAGAATGCTCGACAACGCCAAAGCGCTCCATGCCAAAAGACCAAAGTATCGTGTCGCTGACCTGTCTCGCATGATGTACGACGAATCTATCACTCCTCTTGACGTGATTCGGAGATGGTCCGGCAAGGATGAAGAGGAGGATGCTGATGAGGAGATCGAAGAAGATGCGGACGATTTCTTCAAGAAGACCAACAATGAGAAGGAAGAACAGTCGGAATATCGTGCCATCCCCGAGTTCGACTATGAAGAGTTAGAGCGGAAGTGGCGGGATGAAGAGATGATTGAATCTCTACGGAGCCGATTCGCCACTGCTAGGCTGTCTGGCAATGATGATGACGATGGTTCGGATGTTGATGATGCCTTCGATGAGGATGATGAAGGAGATGGAGATTTCGAGGACCTGGAGACTGGTGAGGTGTTCAATGGCATCTCGGACGAGAAGGAGGAGCAGGATGAGGGTTCAGGCGACGAGGGATCCGTAGATCTCGAAGCAGAGCGCGAACGAAACGCCAAGAAGAAGGAGGAGCTGAGGTTGCGCTTTGAAGAAGAAGACCGTGAGGGATTCGCCAACTCCAAGGATAACTCACGACAGGACGGTGGAGGCGATGAAGAGTTCGGTGAAGATGAATGGTACGATGCACAGAAAGCGAAGCTGCAGAAGCAGCTAGACATCAACCGGGCCGAATTTGATACTTTGGATCCAGCCTCAAGGGCTAGAGCTGAAGGTTTCAAGGCTGGAACCTATGCCCGTATCGTTCTGGAAAATGTACCTTGCGAATTTGCGACCAAATTCAATCCTCGCTTCCCCGTCATTGTCGGTGGATTGGCACCCACTGAAGACCGATTTGGATATGTGCAGATTCGGATCAAGAGACACCGTTGGCACAAGAAGATTTTGAAGAGTAACGATCCCTTGATCTTCTCTCTCGGGTGGCGTCGCTTCCAGACCCTACCAATGTACAGCACATCCGACAACCGGACGCGTAACCGCATGCTTAAATACACGCCAGAACACATGCACTGCTTTGGCACTTTCTATGGGCCACTCGTTGCACCAAACACCGGTTTCTGTTGCGTGCAATCTTTCTCCAACAAGGCCCCAGGTTTCCGAATTGCGGCAACCGGAGTAGTGCTGAGCGTGGATGAACATACGGATATTGTGAAGAAGCTCAAGTTGACTGGTACACCTTACAAGATCTTCAAGAATACAGCCTTCATCAAGGATATGTTTAACTCTTCCCTTGAAATTGCCAAGTTTGAGGGTACCGCGATTCGAACCGTATCTGGCATTCGAGGTCAAGTCAAGAGAGCTTTGAGCAAGCCCGAAGGTTGCTTCCGTGCGACATTCGAAGACAAGATTCTTATGAGTGACATTGTCTTCTTACGCGCATGGTATCCTATCAAACCGCATCGATTCTACAACCCGGTAACAAACTTGCTTGACCTGGAAGAAGACAGTGCAGGCGATAGTGGGTGGCAGGGAATGCGTCTCACCGGCGAAGTCCGCCGTGAGAAGGGTATCCCAACGCCCCTGCAGAAGGACTCTGCCTATCGTCCCGTTGAACGGCAGGAGCGCCATTTCAATCCCCTCCGCGTCCCACGACAACTGGCTAAAGAACTTCCGTTCAAGTCCCAGATCACCAAGATGAAATCGCGCAAAGACCAGACATATATGCAAAAGCGAGCTGTTGTCCTTGGAGGAGAGGAAAAGAAGGCACGAGACCTTATGCAAAAGCTGACCACCATGCGGAACGATAAGCAAGCTCGACGCGCAGCGAAGCAGGAGGAGCGGAGACAGGTCTATCGCGCCAAGGTCGCCGACAGTTTGGAGAAGAAGGAAGCCCGGGAGAAACGGGAGCGCGACGATTACTGGCGGCGAGAGGGCAAGAAACGAAAGAATACAGACGAAGATGGAGGAGGTGGAGGCAAGAAACGCAAGTGATCTTGAACCTCTTGGCAGTTTTTTATCATTGCATGTGTATTGGTTGGTAAAAGTTCGTTTTCTGGGATAATGCCCATATGTATCTATTGATATGCTGCATGGTGGATGGCGTTCAATTATATCTGATGATATATACCAAGGAATAGAATGTGCTTTTTATTCTTCAGGGTTGGGTCCTTTTTGTGTCATGTGTTGTTGAGCTGCCTCTCAGTCATGTTGCTTACGTGCGGCTGTTGATGCGATACTACTTTGCCTGGCCATGTAGGCGGAACCTGCCACGTGACCGCGCCGCGGAACGCGTCGACTGGAATAGAGTTGGCCACTTGAAGGTTAAACAAATACTACTTGACTTGACAGCCCGAAGATCATTCAGCAGGTATGCTCCATGTGCTTCTGGCTTCAGCTCCAATCCTCACCCGTGTCTCCTCACTTCAATCGAGCAAGTGTCGGAATTAAGTTACGTGTGGGGACGAAGCGTGCTTGTCCCGGTTAATCCTGCGCTCCAAGCCACTCCTTGCGTTCAAAAGACGGGACTCTTAAATAAGCACCCCTTGCAGCTAAGCAGAGTGCGGAATTCCATCCCAATTGAGGCTATTTGCGCAGTGCGATTGCCCTGTGAACGGTCTGTCAGGAATAGGGTTGATAGCTCCGCATTGCACGTTCCCGCGTCAACACCCTTGACCCGGGCGGAGATTAGATTGTTCGGCGCCTGGAATTGACGATCACCTCTATGGTTCAAGGACATCTGGGCGATTGATTATCTTTGTCCAATTGCGAGGCCTTCCATTTGTCGACATTGTAACAGCTGTATCTCGTCGGTCGTCGTGGACTGAGCCCCCAAGGTTCCCAGTCTACACGGCCGCGTCCTGCGCGATTCGCTGCCCCTCAGCCAGGATGAGCGGATTGCCGCATCTACATGGGCGCCAACACGTGCAACATGCGCAGCCTTCTTCGCTGCCGTGTGATCCCAAGCAACCTGCCCCATATGCTCCTACGAATGACCGTTCTGATTCGACCAATTCAGGGCAGCATGGCAGTTACCCTTCAGAGTCGCGGTCTTCAATTGCTCCTGCGAGTACGGTGGTCGAGCCCGCATCAGAATATACACTTCTTACGGCTTCTAGCCGAGCTGCCAATCCAGGCTCGCCCATAGGCGTCATTTCCCACTCCCAAGAATCATCGGGTGCAAGGTATCCGACTACGCGGTCTCGCTCTTCCCCAGATAGATCACAAATGCGACCTAGATATACCCAATTAACCATAGGCGATACGTCAGAGAAGCAGGTTGAATTCAAACGTTCCGTTTCCAGTGTGCATAAAAATAGTTCCACAGCAGTTCCAGAACCCCCAAGCCCTTCTGGCATAGCTGCGGGTCACAAGAGAACTGCAACTGGCTTTATCAAACCATCAGTGGAAGATCAACTTTATAGTTCAAGTGAAACAATTGCCGAGAGACGTCGGTCTAAAAGCAATAGCTCAGCTACACATGGAAATAGAATTGCAGCGGTAATGAGACTCCATAGGTCGTCTTTTCTGAACTCTATCGCTGACACTAATGCAGTTGTCAGTGCACCTTCGCACACGTCTGTCTTACGCTGCTGCTAAGATCGAGGCAAGCCGACGGTCACAGAGCTCTCAGAACAAGTTACCGTTGGATTTACTTCATGGTGACCGTTCATCTTCAACTCCCGCTACCGACCCGTTCGAAAGGATAGGGCGGAAAGGAGGTCTGATGGAGCCCAGCTCTCCTGGCGCGATTACTTCTATGTCTGTGCCAGATACAGTACCAAAATCCCATCTCTACTCATTCAACGATCCTATGCGATTATCCCCGACAGCCAGATCAGAAGACTCCGCACCATCTTTGAAGAGTGATCCACGAAAATCGCACACCCCACTTTCTTCACTACCCAGATTTGGGAGACTTGCACCACCTGCAGATATCATTCCAAGAAGTGACAGCAGTAGGCGCAGGCGCCCGAACCCAAATGACCCCACTAATCAGACACAAAATTTCCCTTACCCTCGCCATCGACGGCATCATTCTCAGCAAAGTATCAGTACAATCAAACGAAACTCTAGCTCAGAGACTGTGTTGGTTCCTGAAACACCTCCTCTCCGTCCATTGCCTCACGACGGCCTATCCACTCAGCAAAGCCATTCACAAAATTCGTCCATGGAACAAGATGCAATAGAGACGCTACTCTTTATGTCCAGCCCGGGACACTCGGGGTACTGCTCCAATTCACAGCCCTCCCGGAGTCAGCCGAATCATACACATAGCAGCAATACATCTGCGCAGACTAAGTATAGCGCACCTGGGAGTCAAGACACACACATGCTTGCAGACACGACTCAACTTCCTCCTATATATCGTGACTCAGGCGTGGGATTAGAAGCTCAGGCAGGTGATGAAATCGATCGCTTGTTGGATCAAATGGACAGCGATAGCGAGGATGAAAAGAACTACCCCTCTACTCGCTCAAACAGCATCAGCACTCGCTCAACGCCAAGTGGCGTTTCTCAGAGACGTAACCCTCGGCTCCAATCATGACTACCTACACTTTTGACATTTTGAGTTCTTGACCATCTCAGCGGCATTTAATTACCCTCCACTATTTTTGCACAATCAACGGTTAAAAGTGAATGATGCGTAGTGCATTCTTTGGGTATTCTTCGACATCAACATGGCGCATGCATGGATTGGGAGTGTCTTGTGGCTATTTGCCGTATGTACCGGGTTTCGGGGAATCTTGTCGTTTGTTTTGGCTTTCAAAATCAATCATTAAGAAGCGGCAGCAGCTAGGTATGGCTACATGAGCTTTATGAATACAGCGGTTACTGTAAATCGGGACTGACTGATAGGTTCCACAGTATCCCTTGTTATCATGCTGCAATTGGTGTTCTCTAGATATCTCCTGTAGCCTAGCTAATAGAGGGGAATCTGTACAACAAGAACATAATAAAATATCTTAACGGTATTATCTTCTCTAACGGTTCAATCGACGGTACAGATGCAATATAAGAGAGAGGGGAAGGAATTTGAGACGAGAAAAAGCAAAAGCAGAAACCCAGAATAGCCCTCAACACATGACACCTAAAGAGGTACACATCTACTTCCCAACCCGACAAAGTCCCCAATCATCCCACTCTTCACTCCCAACACCGCTCCTCACAACAAACAGGCTCTCAGGATCCCATTTCTTCTTGATGTCCAAAAGACGCTGATAGTTCTCTCCCCAAAACGAATTCTGAAACTCCGACTCATAAGCATTCGCCTCATTCAAATAAGCGCCCATCTTTTCGTCTCCTTCAACAGATCTCAGGATCGGCACTTCCACATCAGTAAGGTTCCTTTTCACAGCCTCCTGCTCAGCCAAAGTGGCGTTCGGTTCCCAGCCCCGGGGTATTACGATATGAGTGATTGCTTTCCTCCACGCAGGGTTCAGCGCACTGTCTACCCTTCCTGCATTGTCTGCTACGGCGCCGCCAGCTACGAGATGGCCGATGATGGCTGAGCCGGGATCGACACGAATGGAGCGCAGCACGGAGGTTAGTTTTCTGGAGCCATTGTTGGATGACAAAAGGTCCCTGGAGAAGAGCCTTGAGCCTAATAAACTCACACCACCTGTTTGGTCGGAGCTGCCAGTGAGGAAAATGTTGGAAAAGATGAAGCCGACGCTCGGGATTGCGTAGGAGGCGTACTGGGTGTATACACCAGCAGTACCGTTCAATTTCGAGATAAGAGGGGCATACAGACTGTCAATCTGTGCTGTGTCTGTTTGATTGGGGAAGATGAAAATTTGGGTTAATGTTGAGACGCTGGTGTTCTCTGATAACTTGATATCGGGAACCATCCAGTAATATCCGGCGCCTTTAGCGTCGTTTATTCTTGGCAGAGATGCGTGGAAGTCCGTCAGGGCATCCCAATATTGAGGGTTCCCCACTGAGGTTGTGATGTTGAGGTTGGTTAGGATAAGGGGTGCGTCGTCGAACGTGCGGACTGTGACGCTTACGACGACTCCAAAGGTACCCCCGCCTCCACCTCGGAGAGCCCAGAATAGGTCTTTGTTCTGGTACTCATTTGCTACAACTAGCTCTCCCTGTAGCGGTATTATCAGTATGGACCTTCTTGAGCAGGGCTGTGTTGTTGTCACTTACATTAGCAGTCCCGATGGTGAACTCAAGGGCATTATCCGAAGCCATCCCCTTCCATGGTCCCAGGGCAGAATGTCCACCACCTTGAATATACCCCCCTGCAGCACCAACCGTGTGAGAAGTTCCGGCAACAACGGTTCTATTCCTCGCGGCGACAGCAGCGTACAACTCTTGCAGACTGACACCGGCGGCTATTGTAACTGCCGCGCCTTCATCTTTACCTTTTGGTGCACCAGCAGGAGTGAACTTGTCCACAAGCTTGATATCCTTCATCCCATTGGTAAGGATCTGCAGCGACCCTGGAGCGGAAGCACGACCCAGGAAATCATGCCCTGAGTTCTTGATCACGAGACGAAGGTTATGTTGCTTTGCGAACTTCACCGTCTCCTGGATATCAAATGCCGATTTGGCGAGTGTCGAATAGAAGGATATCTGGCCCTGTCCACATGGCGTGTTTCGTGGACTCTCGATGTAGCAAGTCTGATTATGCTCCGGCCAGGACTCCCAATTTTCCCACTGTACGGCACCGGGCTGCGCCGCTCGCCAGGTCGAGTTTGTCCAGGCCGCCGTGACTTCCTTACAGGCTGAGCTATTCCGGTCACCTTCATGACAGACTGCTGCAATAGGCCGTACGGCTACTAGGTTTCCATTGATGGTACTGTTGAGGGAGTTCCATTCTTGTTCTGAGGGCCAGCAGCTCTGGTGAGGTTGGCAACGACATGACGAGGAATTGGTATTGCCGTATGCCAGCGGAATAAAAGGCAATGCCCAGATTGATGACTTCATGATGCAGATTCAGTCTGGCGATGTGCTTTGTAAAGAGAAAGCAGATTTGAATTGTCCTAGAGAGTCCCACTTCCATGAACGCGACGCAGATGTCTTATTTATAACTTCGATTAACACCCAGAATAGAGCATACAACATCTCGTTCTTGCCCCGACACGACACCCTACATTGTCAGATACGATACATGGCTATGTCCGTCGTATTCGCTTGCTTAACTCTATGCTTGGGACAGCACATCGGGCCCGGGGCAGTGTTTTCCTAATCCGGGCAGGTCGCTGGACAAGTCAGATCCCGAACCATTGGATCAGGTCTTGACCTAGAGCTATCCATGGCCTGTCGAAAGCTCCGTATATGTAAGGGAAATCCGCATTGGAGGGCTTTGACGTCACGGGAAGCTTGTTGGGAAAGCTCGTATTCGGCAAACCTCAAATTGAGTCCGTGGAGATATCACCAGGGTGGCTGTGGATGATCAGCCTCTGGCACTAAAACGACGGCCAGATTTGGCCATAGTTCCAGTAATCTTATAGGTCCAGAGGGGTATAGCATATGGGTGCCTAGTAGGATTAAAGTAAAACGTCTAATCCTTTTTCGTTATGGTTATTGCCAACGCCGATCCCAATCCAAGCCTCTAATAGACATTTCTCCTGCATCACAATTTCAAAGCCAGGTCTTCCATCTATAAGGAAATTAATATATCTTCATGGCTGGCGTGGAGGAAGTATGTACCCCTTGTGTATATGTATTAACAACAATATCCTATTCTATAATTCGGCTGACCACTAAGGTTCCAACTAAACCCGGTAAGATAGAGAACGGCACATACTATTAGTGAACCGTTCCTCGCGGGGAAAAGCGAATCGTTCCATGGGAGCCAGTTGCGAAAGAGTAAAAGCCTGTCAGGTGTAAGAATACAGACTTCCACTAGCAACCCAGACCAGCAAAGTAATAATAGGGCGCGTACAGTAGGTATTAACAAAACCTCTAACTAGGGAACTTGGTTACTTGAACTTAATTAGACAAAAATTGTAAAATGTCTAGTACTCTTGATAGGGAAGACAAGGTGAAAAGGTAATGCTGTCTCTCTTGGAGTATTTTCCCCAGGACAAAGCATGGGTTATCAGGCTCTTCCAGAAAAGCTCAGGTATAATTCCCTCTTGTACTTTGGCATACTGACGTGCATACGGTTCATGGAATGTATATCGAGTGAAAATGCTCAAAACCGTAGATTCCGCTCATCATTTGTACACAAATATCTGCAACTGTGTCGAGATCTTCACAGTTGTATAGACTGCAGAGTATATATCACTTACAGATGGCTACACCTTCATTTGGAGCTGAGGCAAGCTGGAGGGGGAAAATGAGGCAGAATTTTGTTAATCACCATTTGAGTATGCATTGGCATGGTCATCAGTCAACATGACAGGCTCTTTAATGATTTCTCTAGTGTTCCTTGGGGTTATATTCGTGATATATCTATATATCTAGGTCGCATATGTACAGCGGTATTAAGCACCAGCACTCTCCCACTCACTTGCTCACTGCCAATTCTGCGGAAGAATCTCAATAATATATCCATCCTAAACACACAGTTAGCCTATCATCAGAGTCCCTCAATCCCTAAATTAACAGATCAAGAAGAAAAAGAAGAAACCTACCGGATCAGAAACATAAGCAATCTGATCGAAAAACACGTTATAGTTCGGATGAATCTCTCCGACCCCGACACCCCTCCCTTCCTCCCACTTACTCAACGGGATGCTCTCTCTCGTCGTAACCCCCAGCTCCTTAACAACCGTGACGCCCTGGGCCCTCAACCTCTCGACGGTAGCCCTCACATCGGGCACCGTGAACCCCAGATGGCCGAACCCCAGATTGGGCGGCGTGTTCCCGTTCGCCATCTCCACACCGCCCTCCTCCACGGCCTTCTCCGTCCCATGGATATGGAACAGCTCCAGCAACCCCATCGTTTGGGTGAGGTTCGCCGGGTCGGAAACCTTAGCCGCCCAGGCGGACAGGTCGGCACGATCTTCGGCGCTGGAGGGGAAGCCGAGGTAGTACATTGTGAAGGGGCCGGTGTTCATGGTGAAGACGGTGCGCATGCCCATGAGGTCGATGTAGAAGTGGAGCGAGCGTTGCGGGTCTCGGATGCGGAGCATCGAGTGGTTTAGTTTTGTCCCGATTGTTGGGTCATTTGGAGGGAGTGGAGGGTCGGTGTTGTGGCCGCCTGGGAGGAAGGCGCCTTCTTCGAAGGGGGTGGGCTGGGGGCTCATGGTCTTGATTTTGTTGAGTGTTGCGTGGGTGGATGTGGTGTGGGGTTTGTGTAGAGGGGGATGATCCGATATAAATATACAAGTCTAGTGAGTAGTTACCGAGGGCAAACTAAAGAAAGCTCACTCCACCTCAGGTGATTAACGATAATGTGGACTGGGCATCCACAATCACTTTTCAGACAGATACAAGGGAACAGGGCTTTTGAGTTCATTCGGGAAGCATAGACTCTTTTTGTTCTTTACCATGTAGGACACTGAGTCGTTATATCCATCTAAGTATACAGGGAAAGAAAGTGCCATGTCTACTGTACCCCCCAACTATCATCCTCCTCTGCCACGTCGTAATCAACTTCATGATTTCCGTCTCTCCGTCCGGCTGATGGATCAGGAGGCAGGGGTGTACTCGTGGGCTCCATCACAGTATCCTCATCGGAGCCGGTTTTGGTATCCAATCCAGAGCCCGGTGTCGTGGGCGCCACACTGATTGGAGGGTTGGGTACCCAAGTGAGCTGCACTTCGCCGACGGATGGTATCTGCCATGATCCGTACATAAACTTTTCTGCAAGGTACCGCTCTTTGAATGCGACTATCACAGAATCCGATTGCTCTGGATTAGGTTGAATGGACTCATATTCACCAACGCCCTAAGATTCCAATGACATCAGCTGTAGTTCGATATAGATACGCAGAGATGAGGAAAGGAAATTACTCACGATGAGGAACTGCCTCAATGCTTCGTCCTTCTCAGAGTTCAACTCAACGCCCGAGACGGCAACTCTTCTGGGTCGATTATCGAGACGAAGTACACCTCCCCGGCCACGGGCCATTCCTCCACGACCGCGATATCCTCCACGATAATTGGGATCGTATCCACGGCCGCGGGGCGCATAGCCGCCTCGTCCCAGGTATCCACGGCCACGGCCGCGATATGAGGGCCCACCAGAATCAGCGCCGTTGGGATCAATTCCAAGCGTCTTGGCTTCGGCTTCGAGAGCTGCCAATTGTGCGCGCAACTGCTTCGTTTGATCGCTAACATTCTCTTGGGGTGAGGGGCCGCTCTCCCCATCTGAGGATGCAGCACCATTGCTGACATCGTTCCCGCCAAGCTTTTGCATCAGTCTTTCCTTCTCTTCCTGCTGTTTCTTCAAGAGTTCCTCGCGCTGCTTCTCCAGTGCTTGTTTGGCTTCCTCTGTCTCCCTGCGCTTCTGCATCTTCTCCTCGTAGGCCTTTTGCGCTGCTTCTTGCTGCCTCTCGAACTCCTCCTGGTTGAACGGCTCAACCTCGCTGGCCGCTTGTCGATGATCATTATTCTTATCCGCCTTCGCCTTATGCCAGTAAACCTTGACGAATCGGTTATCGAAAATCACCTTGGGGCTGGACCATGCGCGCTTGGCAGATGCGTGGCTATCATATTTGATCAATGCAAGCTTCTTGTGAGGCTGTAGAGAAAGCTCAACGATGTCGCCGTACTGAGAGAAGAACTCCCTCACTGATGCATCATCAAGTTTGTCATCCGGGATTTGCTCAACAACAATGGTTGTGATAGAAGTATCTTCATTAGGACCAGCCGCAGAGTACTCGGATCGACGTCCTCGTCCTCCAAATCCACCCCTGTCCCCACCACGGCCGCGGCCTCGGCCTCTGTCGCTGCCACGAGGTGGAGTGTCAGTGTTCCGTCTCTGGAAGTCTGTCACAATATTGGACGATTTCGGGTCATATTCTGCAATGCACCGTTAGCAACACCAGCGGCAGTGAGTAGGGGTGTTTTTCCTACCATCTTCCTTCGGAATACCAGGCGTATCATGTTGATATGGACAGGCAGCGCCCAAATAGCATATGCCTTGTGTATCCCAAAAGGGACACCGTTCTGAGCTCTTTGGCGCCATTGGATCCTGTGGCTGACCAGCGCCGCCACCAGGAACCGGCATGGGCATAGGAGGCATACCGGGCATCTGTGGAAACCCCATACTCTGGAGGGCCATCATCGCCGCCATCGGGTCATTCTGATCAAACGACGGAAAGGTCGGAGGCATCGCAGGAAATCCACCCGCAGGTGGCGGGGCGTATTGGCCGGGGGCTGCACGGCTATCGCGTCCCATCCAATCTCCTCTTCCGCCACCCCGGCCACGTCGCGGTGTCTTGAAGTTCCTGTTATGTGGAGCCTCTTCGCGCTCTTGATCTGCCTGGAACCCTTCATGGAAGCTACGCTTGCGTCCATAGCTTGACGAGTCCGTCTGTGACTGAGGAGTGTTGCTCATAGGAGCCCCGTAAGGCCCCCTCGAAGGGCCAGATGGGGGGTTAAAGGGGGCTTGTTGCTGAGAGCTTGGTTCGGGCGCATTGATGTCATTGGAAATCTGCGGTTGGCTCAACGAATGCGAGCTTGCGGAAGGAGCGGTTTGTTTCGGCGCAAAAGTAGCGAAAAGCTCGTCGACAAATGGCACCGTGTCTAGATTTCAGGGTGGCTCGGTTAGAAAACTGCCCAAACAATGACAAGCAAATTTTACGAACGCTCTCTGAGGAAATCTTCCAAACCCTCCACAGACGCTTTCCGGATTTCTTCATCTGGAGCGTCGGCTCTGATAAGCGCAAGCACATAGTCTGCAAGTACATCGGCATCGGCATCAGATCTACCATAGTCATCGAGATTGGTGTGGATTAGCTTCATGGAGCATTGAAGAAGGGTACAACAAAGGAACATCGCTGGACGGAGCTCGCGCGGTTGTGAAAGGATCTTACATGTCTTCCAGTTTTCGCACCACCCAAGTCTTCACCTCAGCGGCTTTACTTTCTGAGAACTTCATGGTGCCACACAGCTATGCGGTGTTAATCCCAGACTCTATCCCGACAGTCGTCACCTTTAGCCGTCCTGCGTAGTAGCTAAAAATAATTGAAGGCCCGAGAAGCGAATCCGGCTGAAGATAAATAATGGTACCGGGTAATGAAAGCAGGTCAGAAAGCGCAAGTGAAAGATAACGGGATATGGCGTTTTATGAATCAAATAGGCCAAGATATGCTCAGGCCATAATGTAGAGGTCAGAGTGAGGGGACATATTAAGAGCTTTGCGGACAGAAGAAGCCGGGGAAACGCGAGGCGACGCGGATGACGGAAATTATCACGTGATATGTAAGGCCATTTCTGCAAGACACGATTATGGCGAGGCAGCACAGGTTGGGCTTTGCTTGTTGATATTGGTTTTGCTACATGTACAGACCACATGGTGTGTGCATCTCGTACGTGCAAGACTGGTGGCTACAGGATGCTACGAGGGCAATGGTGGAGAAATTTTAGCTGTGGAACTACAACTGGAAAGGTCAAGTGAACTATGTAAAAAGCCTCGCATTCGTTAACGTAACAATAGATAATGAAAAGCCATAGCAGATGCACTCCTGGACTCTACTTCTAAAGGTCGAAAATCCACATACGACATTCAGCTGTGGCGCTTTATTTTGAATTTTTGGGTGTTGGCCCTAGCATGGACATAGTATTGCGCTCGTCGATCTCATAAACATAGATTTGCAATCAACGGGTTTACAGCTTGTCGTAGTACTGTGCAGAACTGTTAGCAACGTGCGTTCGAACTGTTGGTAGAAAGAAGGACTTACGTTCTCGTATCCAGGAACCTGCTCCTTGAGACCCTTGCGCTTACGCATCTCAGCAACAATAGCACCAGGCTTAGTGGTGGTGTCAAGAGGAGAACCACCAGGGAGAACCTCCCAGTGATCGAAGACGGACTGGGGGAAGGCCTGGCCACCGGTGGCCGCACGGAGGTCAGTGGGGAAACCGAAGGACTCGTTGACGGGAAGGTAGGCCTTGATGGTGAACAGAGGGGTACCGGGTCTCTGCTCCTCAGAGTAAACGTGACCACGACGGCGGGTAAGGACACCATAGATACCACCCATAGCCTGCTCGTTAACCTGGATTTCAACGTTGAAGATGGGCTCCAGGATACTGGGGTCAGCAAGCAGTTGAGCGGCGTAGAGAACACGACGAGCGGTGGGGATGATCTGACCACCACCACGGTGGATAGCATCAGCGTGAAGGGTAACATCAAGGATGTTGAAGCGGACAGCACGCATGGGCTCCTCGGCAATAGGACCCTCACGAGTAGCCCACTGGAAACCGGAGACGACGGAATCCTTGATTTCGTTAAGGTACTGGACGGCCTTGGTCTGGTCAACCAGCAAGTTGGCACCAGTGGTGTCAGGACCGAAGGTCCAGATCTTACGGGCATCGGTAACATCCCATCCGTACTCATCAGCCATGAGACGGGCACGAGTCTTGAAATCATCACGGGGGCTGATCTTGCCGGCCTCAATGGCAAGAGCACACTCCTCCTCAATTGGCTCGGCGGTGACGTAGAGACGGTTGTGCTTGTTGGGAGACTTGGAGAGAGCAGTCATGCTGGACTTGCCAGCGACGGACTCACGGTAAGAGACAACAGGGTCGGAGATCTTGAGGGGAACACCAGCGTGATCATTCTCGAGATCGTTCAAGCAAATCTCAAGATGCAACTCACCGGCACCAGCAACGACGTGCTCTCCGGACTCGTTAATCATGGTCAGGACACAAGGATCGGACTTGGACAGACGCTTGAGACCCTCGACAAGCTTGGGAAGATCAGCGGCGTTCTTGACCTCAACGGAACGCTGCACGACTGGAGAGATAGAGAACTTCATGACCTTGAGGTTGTGAGCGGTCTCAGAGGTGGTGAGGGTACCAGACTTGAGCAAGAACTGGTCAACACCAACCAGACCAACGATGTTACCGCAGGGAACGTCGTCGATGGCCTCGGTCTTACCACCCATCATCAGAACAGTACGCTGGATCTTCTTGATGAACAGGTCGTCCTTCTTGCCAGGGGTGTAGTTGGGACCCTGGATACGGACCTGGAGACCGGACTTGACGATACCGGAGTAAACACGACCGAAAGCATAGAAACGTCCCTTATCGGAAGTGGGAACCATCTTAGAGACGTAGAGCATCAGAGGAGCAGGGTCCT